CCCTTACATATGCTGCTGCCTACAATTGACTCACTTCAGATTGAAAGACACACACAGACTAAAAGTGAGGAGATTGAAAAAGATTTACAATAACCAAGATGTGGAGGCAGCCTGGGTGGATAAAGAGGAGGTGGTACATATATATGGCAGAATATTGCTCAGCCAGGGAAAGGAATGTGTTCTTGCCATCTGCAGCGGCATGGATGGACCTGAGATTATTGTGCTGAATGGAGTATATCAGACAGAGAGACAGATACAATGTGGTTTCACTTATATGTGTTATCTAAAGAACAAAATAAACAAGTAAAACAGAAAGCAAACTCATAGATATAAAGAACATTTTGATGGTTGTCACATGGGAAAGGGAGTTGGAAAAGGGGAAAGGATTAAGAAGTACAGATTGGTACTTATAAAATAGTCATGGGAATGTAAAGTAAAGCATAGGGAAAATAATCAATAATATGATAATAATTAAGTATAGTGGGTACTAAACTAGTCAGCAGTATCATTTCTTAAATTATATAAATGTCTAACCACTAAGCTGTACACTTGAAACTAATATAATGTTGAATGTCAACTGTAATTGAAAAAATGTAAAAAGGAAGGGAAAAGGTGAAGGGCAATAAGAGGTTTATATTTACAGGTATAAAACAAATAACTCATGGGGATGTAATGTACAGCATGGGGAATACAGTCAATAATATTGTGATAGCGTGGTACAGTGTCAGATGGTTGCTGGACTTATCATGGTGATCACTTCTTTAGGTATATAAATATTGAATAACTATGGTGTACCCCTGAGACTGATATAATGTTGTATGCTAGCTATATTTTTAATAAAAATCTTTAAAAAAGAGAAAATAAAGGAAAGAAATAATAAATGCCATCTCAATAAGCTATAAATTTAAATTTGTTCACACATCTCAATTCCACCACCCTTAAACTTCTGATACAATGAATTAAAAAAAAAACCCTTGGTTTGGAAAATATCATCACTTTAAATCTGGTAAAAATAAAAATAACTGCCCTTTCCCCTAGCTTTCTTCCTTCCCCTTACTCTGACTCTCTGGTCCATTTCCTTTATTAATCTACCCAGTACTTACATATCATTTGATTAAGGAAGAGTTGGTGAAAAAGAGAAGAGATCTATCTTGCCTACCTGCTCATTTTGATTAAGAGGGTTTATCTTGTTTTCATGGAGAATCACATGATCAACATTCAACCCTTGAGGAAAATAACACTTTCTACCCATGAAAATCAGTGAATAGGGTTATGCTTCCATAAGGCTAGATTTACTTATTTTTAATCTCTAATGACTTCTTTCTATTGTTTATTAAACAGCCATTTTCATGTCTTATTGTCTTTTTATCCTGTAAAGTAGAGATAGTTTGTGAGACGAAAGGGAAGAATACGAGAGTGAATGAAAGCCTTTTTGTGAACTCAAAGAAAAAAGTTTGTGTAAGTCCTATGTAGTAAATAAAGACGGGGTCATACAAGTGAATATGTTTTTTTTTTTTTTACTGATGTTAGGAAATACCAGGATGAGGTATTACATTTAAAAAAATTACAAAAATTGCTCCAACTGCACAGGGATGCATTTTAAGTTGTTCTCCTTAACAAATCTCATTTGAAATGGGTAAACCAATTATTCCGGAGTATGCTATTGGTTGTCATAAGGACATAATGACACTTTGCTCAGCAATTAACCACTGAGGAGGAAAGCAAGTCATAGTTTGGCAAATCAGCGCTGACTACATGAGCATGGAATCTACCAGAACTAAAGGTTATTGATTGAGCAAATTCCTATAGCTAGAGTATTTACATTCTCATCTTTGTTTTTTTTTAATTCATGAGAGAAATTGAACTTTAGAACTCACAAATATATTACTTTGTTTCTCCATATTCTTGTATAGCTTTATCTTTATATCTAATCTCGACTTCTCTTCTGCTGATGATATCAGATGGAGCAAAGCCAGGGTACAGCTGCTTTCTTTAAGTCCTAACACTGTGTATCACTTCTCTCCTCTTTTATAAATTAGGCCGTAGATAAACTTGTCAATATCCATCTGGAACTGAAAGGTAAGAAAGAGTGTAATATCTCACCCTTTGCCCAGGTTTGAAATAGACTGCTTCTGCCTTCACTAGTGATCATGAAAAAAAAAGACAAAAAATAAAGACTAGATGGTATAAGCACACTGCTTTAACCAAATCCCGAGTGCTCTGCACACACCATCTTTGGAAAGCACCAACATGCCCAGCAAGGAAAACCAGGAAACATTTTGTTTGCCTTCATAAACAGCAAACCAGAACCAGCTCAAGACCACACACGTGCATCCTCAAAAAAGAAAAGCAGCCAGAGCTATTTCAAAGGCTTTATTCGCATTTCTAACCAGTTGCCAAACCTGACAGCTCTGCAATTCAAATGGTGCCTTGCAACACCTGAATGCCACTTTCAAAAGCTTTCTACGCAAAATGTGGCTGTCGCCTTCCTCTACCATTTTTCCTCGTCAGTATCGGTCCCTATGGTGGGGGTGTGTGAGGACCTGCTACCAAAGATGAGGAGAGCAGGGCAGAGACCAGTCTTGCCCAAGGTAAAGGTGGAATGAGGGAGGGACTTACCTGGGTTCCCTTTATGAATGTTGAAATGGAACTCAATTGGTAATAAACTGAACCCCCCATTGCACAATTTCTTCCTTGTTTCTATTAAGAAAATGGCTTTTCCTCTCAGTTTCCTATGCCTGCAACCTTGTAAATTTAGCCACTCTGCTCAAACGCTGGGTCTCATCACACGAACACACCCTCTTCCCTTTCATGAAGCTCACCAGCTCTGCTTAGGAGTCTGTCTGGTCCAGACCAGGAGTAAACTACTTCTCCACCCTCCCTGGAGGGTCTCAGGACCCATAGACAGGACTTGGTTGGCTGGTGTCTCACCGACGAGGGTGCTCTCACAGTGCTTTTCTGCCATCTACCCCAGACAAAAAGTTAGAGGAGAGGAGAGGGTGAGCAATGAATGGATGCTTTTGAAGCCAAAGGCTGAAAGTAGACAACTCTCCTCAGAGACTGATCCGTGGTGTGTGTGTGTGTGTGTGTGTGTGTGTGTGTGTGTGTGTGTGTGTGTGTGTGTGTGTGTGTGTGTGTGTCCCTTTTCTCCCCTGAGGACCAGATCTTTCTCCTTTCTCAGTTTATCTGAGATATTTGGCTGCCTCGGTGTTCTTGAGTCTGAATAGCTACTCTGATGCCCCGCCATGTGTGACATGGATGACAGGCGAGCTTCCCTTTCCCACGCGATTCCGTGGAGGATCAGATATCCAGATTCTGCACGGGCAAGGGAATCGGTCCTTCGCAGAAAGTGGCTGCCTTCCCGCGATCGAAGGAGCTAATACTGCTCCCGGGGTCGGCTGACCAGGAAGTAGAAACCCCAGCGCTCGTGCTCTGGCCTTGGTGCTGAATCCGGAACCCGCGGCCCTAACCATGTCCGCGGTCCCCGGGCAACTTTGGCAGAGGTTTGCGGGGCACCTGCTGGTTTTAGGCGCCCCCTCGCGGGTCGTTGGTAGGAAGTTGGGCAGAGCCGATGCCCTGGGACCTTCCACAGGGCACGCGGCTAGCTTATTTATTTGCCTAGAGCTGGGAAAGTTTTGTCCAACTTTTTTTTTTTTTCTTCCGTAACTGGAGCTGCCTTCTCCCCTCCCACCTGAGTCGCCATGGAGACGCGAGCTCTCTAGGCAAAATGGGCGAAGCTTCCTTAGCTCAGCCCTGACTATAGCAAGCCCCCTTTTCTTTCTCAGCAGCTCCTGGGCATCCTTTCCCTCCGTTTCTCAACAGAAGACAGGTAGGCAGGGAACGGTGATAACTGAAAAGTGGCATTGCACCCTGTTCTGCGGGGGATCCTTCGGACTAGTGGACTTTGCATAAAAGCAGGCAGGAGACTCTAAACATGTAATGAATCTCTAATTCCCAAACACGAGGTTTCGGCCCCCCCCCGCTTTCTTTTTTAGGAGTGGAGGCGGGATTCTTTGGAAAATTCTGGTATTTTGTTTCTCCACTAACCTCACCCCATTTCTGTGACTGTTTCCATTAAGATCCATTTCCTCCCTAAGAGCCTCTCCATTATTAAGCCTGAACAAGAGATATACCTGTGGATTGACCCAAGATTTTATTGGGTTTTGGGAATACTAATGTTATGTCTGTTAAAACGAGTCCAAGCCTAATCTCTGGATGCAAATGAAAATATACCAGGAGGAAGCAAGTCAGTGGATTCATCCAACCCCCTAAATGCCATAAACATCTCATTTTATCTGAAGGCTTTGCCCCCTTCTAATTACAAAATTATTCAGGTTACTTCCAGGGAGAGCTTCCCCTTTGCTGTTGGTAGTCATCACATCACATCTCTGGTTATATTGACGGAGAACTGTTCCGAGTTATTGTTGCCCATTGCCTGTCTGTTTCTCCTCCTACACCCCTCACTTTTCCTTCTCTCTCTCTCTCTCTCTCTCTCTCTCTCTCTCTCTCTCTCTCTCT